TCAGTGACGACAGTAGCAAGGAGACGCGTGACAGTAGGACTGGCAGCACGAAGAGAGTCCGACTCCGGGCTGGCAAGTGCAGGAAGAGAGGACGCAGGAGGAGAAGGCAAAGGGGCACGCAGAGGAGCAGTGGACGGACGCAGAGACATCCGGTGCGTGCCAGGGACAGGAGGAGGACGCTGACGCGAACCGCGACCACTAGTGGGAGCAGCACGGACAGGCGACGCAGGGCGAGACGCAGGCTCAGGACGCTCAGCAAGACCTCCAGTAGGACCAGTGTAGGGAGAAGGAGCAGGCAGTGGGGAGGCCGGCTGTAACTGTAACCGGGACGGGACAGGCTGTGCACACTCTAAGGGAGGAGGAGAACCACTAGAAGGCGGGAGACCAAGAACTTGCTGAAGGAGCGGAACGAAGTACAGCCGAGGCCGCGCGGCGACTCCAGACACAGTAGGGATAGCACCAGTACCCCCAGCAGCAGCACCAGTGCCAACAGCACCTCCAGCTCCAGCACGTCCAGCAGCACCAGTAGCACCCCCAGTAGGACTGAGAGCAGTAGCCTCAGCGCCAACACCCTCAGCACCTCTAGCTTCAGTCGTACCCGCAGGCCCAACAGCTCCAGTACTCCAAGTACGAGCACCTCCGGGACCCGCGGCACCAGCACCCTCAGCAGCCGAAGAAACTCCAGCTCCAGCAGCACGCCTCCAGCGCCGGGCAAACCACTCGCGCAGCTCCTGTGGAGAGAGTGGCTCCCGCCAAGACGAAGCACCCGAAGAACCTCCAGGCCCAGCACCGCCAGACGCCACACGAGCAGGCCCAGCTCCCGCAGGCTCCTCACCCCCAGGCTGAGCACCTCCAGACGTGGCACCCCCAGGCTCAGCACCTCCAGACGTAGCACCTCCAGGCTCAGCACCCCCAGGCGTAGTACCCCTAGGCGCAGCACCCCCAGGCTTAGCACCCCCAGTCTCAGCACCCCCAGGCTCAGCACCCCCAGTAGTAGCACCCGTAGGCTCAGCACCCCTAGGCGTAGCACCCACACGCTGAGCACCCCCAGAGTCAGCCCCCCCAGGCTCAGCACCCCCAGCAACACCAGAGTCACCAGTAACCTCGACAGGCTCGGCTGCGTCTACCTGGGACACACTTGAAGGGGCAGGACCCTGAGGGGGGAGGGGGTCTACTGAGGGGGGACCTGGTACAAGGAAGAGCGGTGGCGGGGGGAGGGACGGATTGCAGTAGGGGAAGAGGCGGTAGTAGGGGACCGACTCGTCAAACGTGACGTCCTGGGAGGACAGAACACGGCGAGAGGTGGGGTGGTAGAAATGCCACCCTGACGCGTCAGGGGGGAAGCCAAGGAAGACATAAGGAGCAGCACGAGGGGACAGCTTGTCCGCAGACAAGTCGCGGACAAACGCCCGAGATCACTTGACACGGAACGCAGACGCATCGCCAACCTTCCCCGTCCACAGCAAAGCTGGGGAGGTCTCCGGCAAGGAGCAGAAAAGGCGCGCGGCGGGCAGGGCGGAAAACAGCCGCGCGCCCCGAGCGCGCGGCGGGAAGAAAAAACGTTGTGCGCTCCGAGCGCACGGCAGGAAGAAAACGGCGCGCGTCCGGGGCGCGCTACAGGCAGTAGAGCAGCGGAAGCATCGGGTGGGGCCCACCCACAGGATCAACCCAGGAGGGTCGACCTGCTCTGATAGCATGTCGAAGCACTAGGCAGAATCGAGAAACAGGAAAGTGGGCTTTTCACTAGCATGCAGTTGAGTACATATAGCAAACCCTAGGTCGAGCTGTACTCGCTATAGAGTACCCCACTGCAGGCTACACAAACATCACATTCTGACAGCCCGTCCCGTCCTGCCGTCGCCCTGCTTTTCTACCCGATCTGCACTGCGCGCAATCCGTTTTCCCTTGCGCGCAGCTCGTTCTGCCCAGCGCGCAGCCCCTCCCGTCGATGCGCAACCCGTTTTGACCGCGCGGAGCCCGCCCAGCGCCTGCGCAGACGCCAGCGACGAGCGCCAGCGCCACGGCCAGCTGCGAGCGCCAGTGTGGACCGCCGGCGCCAGCACCTACGCCCAGCGCCAGCGCCAGCACCAACGTCTGCGCCAGCGCCAGGCGCCAGCGCTAGCGCCAGCAGCAGCTACCGCCCCCCCCCCCCCCCCCCACTCGCCCTCCCTTCCGCGAATTCCGTCGTGGGGAGGGGGGGAGGGGGAGACGTGGGGTGGCGGGTGTGAAACACTAGCAGGCCGTCCCTCCCTTCCCTCTTCCTCTCTCTCTGCAGCACTTGGTGCTGTGGGGGGGGGGGAGAGAAGTTGAGGGCGGATGAGAGTAATCTGTTTTGTTTCTCTCTTGTTCTTCTTCCTCTCTCTTCCACTGCATCTCCAGCAACCGCCACTGCTACTGTGGCACCTACTTCTGCAGCCCCTAACGCCACTCTCTCTTCGTTCGTCTTTCTTTGCTGTTGAGCTGCAGGCGTTGTCGTTGAGCCCTGCTTTGCCGCCACCCTTTCTAGCCGCACGCACCTGCTCTCCAGGCTACCTGCGCCACATGCACCTTCTCTTTGTTTCTTTCTTGCCTCAGGGCTTATTGCAGCTGTCTCTGCCACTACTGCACTGGTTGTCATTGCTCTTGCGTGCTGTTGCTTTGAGTACACCTGCAGGTTGTGTTCTGCACCTTGCTATTCCTGCATGCAGTTATGATTGCATGTAGTTCTAACGTTAGTGTAGTTATCGTGATATCCTGTTTGGTGGTGTACCCCCTTTCCTACCCTATATGTTGTGACCCTGTCCATAGTGAAACCCTTCTCTCTCGTCATTCTCCTTCTACCTTAGACTCAGCTTAGTGATTCTAACACTCTGCCCAGGGTTTCCTATGCCATGCCACATCCTGACATGCCATGCCACGTCCTGTCATGCCATGCCACACCATGGCCTTGACGCCCCTCAAATGCACCTTATCATGTTAAGAACCTAAGGCAAGAATGAGTGAATTAGGCCAAGGTTAGGGTACAAGACTAGAGTATCGAGAAAGTTTGTGTACCCCCTAGTGCTAACCCCCATACAGCCTAGATAACCTAAACAAGCATATATATATATATATAATTTGACACACCACCATAGGCGAAATGGGGGATAGCCAGAGCAAGCAACGGTCACAAGACCAGTCAAGAGAAGAAGTCTGAGGGTGGATCACAACGTCACCACGCAGTCTGAGCACAAGCAAAAGACCACAAGGTCAGTTCACATGCAGAGATATATATAAAGATCACAGTACAAACAAAGCCTACAGCAAATGAGGAAGTGTGGGCACTAGGCCTAACAAGGTGCAAAATCGCTGATGATCACCAGGCGGAAGCGCCTTGGTGAATATATCAGCAGTGTTGGCCCTAGTGGTCACGTAAGCAAGGCAAAGCTGGCCACGCTGCTGCAGCTCTCGAGCAAGGAAGTAACGCAGAGCGATGTGCTTCGTTCTGTGCTCCAGTCTGTGCTCCTGACACAAGGCAATGGCGGCCTTGTTGTCGACGTACAGTGTTGGAGGAGAACAAGGCCGCTCTCCCAAGTCAGTCAGCAGGTAGGTGAGCCAGCGTAGCTCCTGTGCAACCATGGCTGTGGCGTAGATCTTGGCCTCACAGCTGGAGCCGAGAACTGACGACGAACGTGTAGAACGCAAGGAAGCTGAACCAGAACCAAGGCTGAAGGTGTAACCCTGTGACGACCGCTGCGTAGCCTGGTCGTCGAGGCGTCCGAGTGACCAGTGAGGACAACGTCACCCCGTCCTCCAAGCACGAGCCCCATGCCCGATGTACTGCACAAGTAGCGTAGTACCCTCTTAGCATTATCTATGTGCACCTTTCGGTGCCGACCAGGAGCCACGTAGCGAGCCAGAAGGCCAAGAGGGTACGCAAGGTCAGGACGAGTGCAGGTCATCAGGTACATGAGGCAGCCCACTAGCTCTGGGTAAGGACCACTCGGCTCTACGGACTCTCGTCCAAAGGTGGAGCTGTGAGCGAGTGACCTGTAGCCAGAGGAGTGGCCTGTGCTGAGGACCAGGTGAAGCCGAAGCACTGAAGGACATGCTGCACCATGTGTGACTAAGTCAGTGTGATGGTGCGGCGTGCTCTGTCCCGGGTGATCTACAAGCCAAGGTAGCTGCGCAGCTCACCCAGGTCTGTGCACATGTGTCTCTTCTGCTGCTCCGACTTCACCAGGGCGAGCGCCTTAGTGTCAGCAGTGGCAAAGACCAAGTCGTCGACGTACACTAGGATGTAGAACGGCGATAGCGAAGTGTCAGTGCGCAGAAACAGTGACGGGTCAGCAGTCAACGGGGCAAACCCAAGAGCCGCAAGAGTCGTCCTCAGTCTGTCGTGCCACTCACGTGGCGCTTGGCGGAGACTGTAGACTCGCCGTCGGAGGCTCCACTGGGTACCAGGAGGGAACGATCCAGTGAAGCCAGGTGGACGGCGCAGCCAGATCTCCTCGTGCAGGCTACCCTGCAAGAAAGCTGTGCTGAATTCAAGAGAGTGAAGCTCGTAGTCACGCTGAGCGGCAACGTGCAGCAACACCCGAAGAGTGGTCATCTTCGGGGTGGGGGAGAAGGTCTGGAAGAAGTCAACTCCCTCTCGCTAACTGAAGCCTCAAGCAACGTAACGAGCCTTGAAGTCAGGTGGAGAACCTGGCGGCCGCTTCACCCTGAAAATCCACATGCCACTAACGATGTTCGCCCAAGGAGGGGGAACCTCGTCGACGTAGGTGCCTGTGGACTTCCAGGATGCCATCTCTGCGTCAATGGCTGTCTGCCACTGAGAGGAGTAGGGACCCTCGATTGCCTCAGCGTACGATCGTGGAGTCGGGATGTCTGGTGCATCCGGGTCTCCCTCAGGGGCAAGCAGCATGGACACGAGATGAGGCGCAGCGGCTGCAAGACACTCAAGGTCCTCCTGCATGTCCTCAAGGACAGCGTTGCTCACCAAGTTCGTAGAGAACGAGGGGAGGTGGAGACCAGACAACTCACCAGACTGGAACGCCAGACACGAAAGCATACTGGAAGACCGTGCAAGCACTGGGCCCCCAGAGGGGTCAGCCAGTGAGACAGGAACAGGTGCAGGAAGGGGAGTGACTGTGGTACTGTCGCGAAAGAAACAGCGGGAAGCACCAGAGTCAAGTGTAAAGGTGTGCAAGGCCTGTGCAGGCACAGTACCAAGGGGAGCAGACTCACAAGCACCTAGTGCAGCAGGAGCTATACCAGGGGCTATACCAGGATCCGGCGGCACACACAAGTAGCAGTCAACCTCAGCACTAACAGACAATGCATACATAGCAGCTAGAATAGCCTCATAGTTAAGATCAAAGATTGGTACATCACGCCTAAGCATGTCTGCCCAGTTGGGGAACTCAGTAGCATTAGGAAACTTGGCGCGCCAGGCGTCGCTAAGTCGAGCGAAGCAGCGTTGCTCAGTGTGAAACCCTGTGCACTGGCGATTAGCGCGGGGACCTGTGCGGATGATATAGGGGCAGCGACCAGAACCTCCAGAAGCCCCACGCACGGCATACCAGTCAAGAAGCTGCTGGGAAGTGGGGGTCTGGCGCTGACGCTGCTGCTGCTGCGGCTGCTGCCGGCCCTGGCCACCACTGCCACCACCGCTCCCTCCTCCCCCACCGCCGCTGCTGCCCCCTCCACCGCCCCCCGTGCCTCCGCCGCCCCCACCACCACCTCCACCCCCTCCACCCCCACGACCACCCCCACCACCTCCACCGCCCCCGCCGCCTGCACCACCGCCACCTCCACCGCCGCCCCCACCTACCCTGCCACCCTTGCCCCCCCTGCCACTGCGACGCTTCCCACTAGGAGCGGAAGCAGCCCCGACCTCCTCAGCACCAAGGTAGTCGTGAGCAGCAGCTGCGGAGGCGTAGGAGGGGGGGAGAGGGGAGGGGGAGCACCCCTCAAAGAGGGGAGAGCGAGGAGTGCCACGAGCAGCACCTACAGCGAGGATGTTCTTCTCTGCTGCAAGGAGGTGCTTTTCGAAGTGGAGGTGGCGGTGCAAGGCGTGGAGGTGAACTCTATGGGGCGACCGTCAGGCTCGAACGCGAGAACATTAGGCGTCGTCATAACAGCAGTAGGCAAAGGCAACTTAATGCAGGCAGGCAGTAGACACGAGGCAGTAGGCAGCAGACAATAGGCTAAGACAGAGGCAGTAGGCAGTATAGGCAACGTGTAGGGTAGTAGCTTGCTGCACCCAAGCTCCTAAGGTGGGGCTCTAGACAGTGGCAGGCCGTACAGTTCGAAGGCAGTGGGTTCGGCAGCAGTGAGCCTCACAGGCAAGTACACAAGTAGGGCGCGCGCGGTTGCTGGCTGCGTGCGGCTAAGGGCCGCGCGTGGCTCTCTGCTGCGCGTGGCTACGTGCTGCGCATGGCTCCTGGCTGCACGTGGCTACGAGCGGCGCGCGCGGGGGCGGCGGGCTCTACGTCGCGCGCGGGCGGCGGGCTCTGCTTAGGCTGCTCGCGGGCGGCGTAAGGGGTGCGCGGGCTCTACATGGGCTACGCAGGCAACGCGGACCGGCGCGTGGCTCTACAGCAGTGGCACGCGCTAAAAATCAGAGACGCGCGCGCTAGAAACCGAGGCGCGTGCGAGAAAAAATTAGTGACGCGCGCTGCCGCCGAGGCGGGCGCGAGCAATAAGCAAGGCAGGCAGTTAGGTGGGCCCGATTCGTAGGTCTTAGAGACCTCCTGCTCTAGCTACCATGTTAAGAACCTAAGGCAAGAATGAATGAATTAGGTCAAGGCTAGGGTATAAGACTAGAGTATTGAGAAAGTTTGTGTACACCCTAGTGCTAACCCCCATACAGCCTAGATAACCTAAACAAGCATATATATATAATTTGACATATCATCGTTGGGCTGAGAAAGCCCTTAGGATCTTGACAGGACTAAATTCTGAGTAGAACAATGTAATAACGAAAGCTTTTAGTGAAGTGTTTGAACCACAGAGTATGTGAGGGCAAAGTAGATTGATTAAAACAAAGGGATACAAGCTTTTATAAGAGAACAAGGGAATATGAACAGTTATTACTAATAAGCGTTTTGTTGTTGCTGATGACTCGGGCAACTGCACAATAACGAGTCAGTTGTTTGTCCTTGCTGTCGCGCTGTATTTGTCAGGTCAAAGTGAGAAAGTTAGAACGAGAATGGAATGACTAAATGAAAGTCGTGTACAAATACAAACCCCAGAAAGTTGTACCCCATATGTGCTACCCCACTATAGCCTACAATAGCTATGTCATATAAATCTGACACACCCCCATAGGCAAAATGGGGGAGAACAAGGGGTCACAAGACCAGTCAAACAAAGCAAAGCAAAGCTCAGGGTGGATCACAAAGCCACCACACATTCCGAGCACAAGTTCAAGGCCAGAAGGCCAGTTTACATGCAAGAGCACATATATATATAAGAGGCTAAACAAGCAAGAGCAGGAGTATATATATGTGACAGTACAAGCAAGGTCAAGAAGTGAGCAAGTGAGGCAAGGCAAGCACAAGACCAAGCTGAGTACAGAACCGCTGATGATCACAAGGCGCAAGTGCCTTAGTGAAGATATCAGCAGTGTTGGCCTCAGAGGCCACGTACGCAAACCGCAACTGTCCACGCTGCTGCAGCTCACGCGCAAGAAAGTAGCGGAGAGCAATGTGCTTCGTTCTGTGCTCCAGGCGCTGCTCTTGACACAAGGCCAGCATGGCCTTGTTGTCTACGTACAGGATTGGAGGAGAACGAGGCGGCTCTCCGAGGTCAGTCAGCAGGTAGGTGAGCCAGCGAAGCTCTTGAGCAGCCATGGCTCCTGCGTAGATCTCAGCCTCACAACTCGAGCCGAGAACGGAAGACGAGCTAGTAGCCCGCTACGAAAGCGAGCCGGAACCAAGGCTGAAGGTGTAACCCTCTGACGACCGCTGTGTAGCTTGGTCGTCAGCCCAAGAAGCGTCTGCGCCCCCAGTGAGGATCACTGGACTCTGCCCTCCAAGCACTAGCCCCATGCCCGACGTACTGCACAAGTAGCGCAACACCCTCTTCGCTGCAGCCATGTGCTCTGGTCTGTCTCTCCCAGGAGCAACATAGCGTGCAAGAATGCTAAGAGGGTATGCAAGGTCAGGTCGTGTGCAGGTCATCAGGTACATGAGGCAGCCAACAAGCTCTGGATACGGGCCACTCGACTCTACGGACTCATCCGAAGGCAGAGCTGAGAGTGAGTGGCGAGTAGGCAGAGGAGTGGTCTGAGGCGAGGAGTACGTGAAGCCGAAGCGCTGAAGGACCTGCTGCACCATGTGTGACTGAGTCACGGTAATGGTGCGGCGTGCTCTGTCCTGGGTGATCTGCAAGCCAAGGTAGCTGCGCAGTTCACCCAGGTCTGTGCATGTGTGTCGCTTCTGCAGCTCGGACTTCACGTAGGCAAGTCCAGTAGTGTCAGCTGTGGCAAAGACCAAGTCGTCGACGTACACGAGGATGTAGAACGGCGGCAAAGAGGTGTCGGTGCGTAGAAACAGCGACGGGTCGGCAGTGGAGGGAGCAAACCCAAGAGCCGCAAGCGTAGTCCTCAGTGTGTCGTGCCACTCACGCGGTGCCTGGCGGAGACCGTAGACTGGCCGTCGGAGGCTCGACTGGGTGCCAGGAGGAGAAGTCCCGGTGAAGCCAGGTGGACGGCGCAGCCAGATCTCCTCGTGCAGGCTACCCTGCAAGAACGCAGTGCTGAAGTCAAGAGAGTGAAGCTCGTAGTCACGCTGAGCGGCTATGTGCAGCAGCACCCAAAGAGTGGCCATCTTCGAGGTGGGAGAGAAGGTCTGAAAGTAGTCAACTCCCTGCTACTGACTGAAGCAACGAGCCACGTACCGCGCCTTGAAGACAGGTGGAGAACCTGGCGGCCGCTTCACTCTGAAGATCCACATGCCACTGACGATGTTCGCCCCAGGTGGGGGAACCGCGTCAACGTAGGTGCGTGTGGACTTCGAGGAAGCCATCTCTACATCCATAGCTGCCTGCCACTGAGACGAGTAGGGACCCTCTACGGCCTCCGCGTAAGTGCGCATAGTCGGGATGTCAAGTGCATCCGGGTCTCTCTCAGGGGTAAGGAGTACGGACACGAGATGAGGTGAAGTAGCAGCCAGACACTGGAACTCCTCCTGCCTGTCCTCAAGGACGTCCGTGCCAAGAGCACACTCACCCCCGTCGGACGGAGGACAGACAGATGCAGACTCAGCAACAAGACTAGCAGCGTAGTCTAGACGACAGCGAGCAGCAAAGTCGACGAGCTCAGCAACAAGAGCAGACGCAGTAGTGGACTCAAAGGAGGGGTCAGTGACGACAGTAGCAAGGAGACACGTGACAGTAGGACTGGCAGCACGAAGAGAGTCCGACTCCGGGTCGGCAAGTGCAAGAAGAGAGGACGCAGGAGGAGAAGGCAAAGGGACACGCAGAGGAGCAATGGACGGACGTAGAGACATCCGGTGCGTGCCAGGGACTGGAGGAGGACGCTGACGCGAACCGCGACTACTAGCGCGAGCAGCACGAACAGGCGACGCAGGACGAGACGCAAGCTTACGACGCTCAGCAAGACCTCCAGTAGGACCAGTGTAGGGGGAGGGAGCAGGCAATGGGGAGGACGGCGGTAACTGTGACTGTGACTGGACAGGCGGTGGACACTCTAAGGGAGGAGGAAGACCGAGAACCTGCTGAAGGAGCGGAACGAAGTACAGTCGAGGCCGCGCGGCGACTCCAGACACAGCAAGGACAGCACCAGCACCCCCAGCGGCAACACCAGCGCCAACAACACCTCCCGCTGCAGTACCTCCAGCAGCACCAGCAGCACCCGCAGCAGGACCGCCGCCAGGACTCACAGCAGTAGCCTCAGCGCCAACACCCTCAGCAGCTCCAGCTCCAGTCGGATCGCCGGCCCAGCAGCTTCAGCACTCCCTGGACGAGCACCTCCGGGACCGGCGGCACCAGCACCCTTAGCGGCTGAAGACGCTCTTGCTCCAGCAGTAACCCTCCAGCGCCGGGCAAACCACTCGCGCAACTCCTGTGGAGAGAGTGGCTCCCGCCGAGAAGAAGCACTCGGAGAACCTCCAGGCCTAGCAACGCCAGACACCACACGAGCAGGTCCAGCGGCCGCTGGCTCTGCACCCCCATGCTCAGTAGCTCCAGACGCAGCACCCCCAGGCTCAACAGCTCCTGTCGCAGCACCCCCAGGTTCAACAGCTCCTGACATAGCACCCCCAGGCTCAGCACCCCAAGGCCTAGTACCCCCAGGCTCAGCACCCCAAGTCTCAGCACCCCTAGGCTCAGCACCCCCAGTCAGAGCACCCCCAGGCTCAGCACCCCCAGGCGCAGCACCCACTTGCGCAGCACCCCCAGAGTCAGCACCCCCAGGCTCAGCACCCGCAGCAGTACCAGAGTCACCAGCAACCTTGACCGGCTCGACTGCGTCTACCTGGGACACACCTGAAAGGGCAGGACCGTGAGGGGGGAGGGGGTCTACCGGGGGGGGACCTGGCACAAGGAAGAGCGGAGGCGGGGGGAGGGAAGGAGTGCGGTAGGGGAAGAGACGGTAGTAGGGGACCGACTCGTCAAACATGACGTCCTGAGAGGACAGAACACGACGAGAGGTGGGGTGGTAGAACTGCCACCCTGGCGCGTCAGGGGGGAAGCCAAGGAAGACACAAGGAGCAGCACGAGGGGACAGCTTGTCCGCAGACAAGTCGCGGACAAACGCCCGAGATCCCCAGACACGGAACGCAGACGCATCGCCAACCTTCCCCGTCCACAGCAAAGCTGGAGAGGTCTCCGGCATGGAGACCCTGGGGTGGAGGTTGATCTGATGCGCCGCGTACCGAACCGCAAACGGCCACAGAAAATGGGGGGCAGCCGCATGCATCATGGACGTACGAGCGACGTCCATGACTGCCAATGCGGCGCTCAGCAATCCCATTTTGCTGTGGAGAGTCCGGAAGCGTAAAGGTCTGGCGGATGCCTCGCGCACGGCAGTAGGCTCGCAGAAGGCCAGAGGAGAACTCTCCGCCTCGGACAGAGTGCAGACGCAGAACAGGAAAGTCCGAGCCAAAGCTCCTCCTGAGCTAGAGACGAGTTGCGCGGATCCAGTCGATCAACACCTCAGTGACATCGCCCTTGCTGCGCAAGGGGAAGACTGTGGTGTAACGCGAGTAGTTGTCAACCACCAGCAGAAACTAGCGCTCGTGACCCTGTCCACGGACGCGGGCCGGGCCCCACACGTCCATGTGAAGCGTCTGCAGCGGGGCCTCTGTCGGGGGAAACTGAGAGGAGTGAGGGGCAGCCCGTAGCCGCCCCTCGACACAGGGGACACAGGAAGGACCAGGCCTTGAAGGAAGGGGAGGGAGGGACCGGGGAAGACCAGAGACAAGGACACGGGAAGCCATGCCTCGGAGACGAGGCAGGGAGGGGTGACCAAGACGGTGGTGCCACAGGAGAGTCTCGTGAGACAGGAGGCGACACGAGCAGGGGGCAGACTCAGGACCAGACCTGGACACTGCAGCAAACACTTGACCCGACGCAGCTACCTGGCCAGATGCAGGGACAGGAGAAGACTCTGTGGTCAGGGTGTAGAGGCTTGACCCCGGCCGACGCGTAAACGTGGCCAGGTGTTGGCCTGTGCGAGCGTCCGAGCAGTGGGTCACCCGCTGACTCGCAGGAGTAAACTGGTGAACCCCCGCATCCTGTAGGTCAGCACCACTCACCAAGTTCGTAGAGAATGAGAGGAGGTAAAGACCAGACAAGGTGCCAGAGGGAGCAGCCGGACACAGGAGGACAGTAGAGAAGTGAGAGAGGACAGGACCCCCAGAGGGGTCTGCCAGGGAGACTGCAACCGACCGA